CAGAGACGCTTATAAACAAAGAGGAGTACTCAATCCTTTTATCAAGCAGGAAAGATAACACGAGTCGGGAGGGAGTCGGCATCATGATTTCCCAGCAAATCCTGCATTGCTTGGTGAGCTACGAAGCAGTCTCACCGAGGATCATCACAGCGAAATTCAACATGAAAGAAGGGATCATGAATACCATCCAGGTTTACGCCCCTACATCTGCACATAGTGAACAAGAAAGTGACCTTTTCTATGATGCACTCCAGTTGCATATCCAGAAGGTACCTAGGAAGGAGAACATAATTGTCATAGGTGACCTTAATGCGAAAGTAGGAGCAGACCATGGAGTATGGGCACCAACTTTGGGCAAGTATGGATTAGGTCAGATCAACAGAAGAGGGGAGAAACTTCTTGAGTTCTGCATGTTACACGGAATGGCAGTGTGTAACACCTACTTCCAACACAAAGAATGTAGAAGGGCAACATGGACATCCCCAGGTGGGCATTACAGAAACCAGATAGACTTCATTATTACCAAATTAGAAAATATAAAGACGTTCCAGAACTGCAGATCGTACTGCTCAGCTGACATGGGGTCAGACCACAATCTAGTACTGGCTAATGTGAAGTTCTCACCCACAAAGACCAAGCGAATGAAGAGCCTCCCGAAAACCTATGACGTGGGCAGATTTAATGACTCTAACATTGTAGAAGCATTCAAAGCCAGGATTGGAGGTGCCTTTGAACCACTACTTCAGCTCCCAGACACAGATGTGGATGAGCTGTGGAAGAAATTCAGAGATACAACCAATAATATCTCAGAGGAAATTGTAGGCTTCAAAAGGTCGAGACAAGTTAAAGGTCTCCCAGAGGAGGTTTGTAAGGCCTGTGAACAAAGGAGGAAAGCCAGAATCATCATGATGAACAATCCCTCGGACTGCAACAAGAAAAGCTACACAAAACTCAATAAAGCAGTTAAGTATGAAGTGAAGAAGTGGAAGAAGAAAATTCTTGACACGGAGGTGGAAGAGATGGAATTAGCTCACGCGAAGAACAACAGCCATGAGCTCTTCAAGAAGGTGAAGAAACTATCTGGTGAGAGACAAAATGCAACCTGCCGTGAAGAACAAGGACGGCATCTTAAAGACTGCTCCCGCAGATGTGTTGAAATGCTGGGAAATACATTTTAGCGTTCACCTCAACACGCAATTTCCAAGGGACGAAAATGCTCTTCTGACCATACCTGACCCACAACCTACAGATAACCCAAGTGAACCTTTCACAATTGAAGAAGTAGAGACGGCAATAAAACTATTGAAGAACAACAAGGCCTGCGGGTGGGACAAAATAGCTGCCGAAACTCTAAAGGCTGGTGGACAACCAATGAGACAACTCCTGCTCAAAATAATAAATGCAGCATGGTCGGAAGGTGTAACCCCGGAAGACTGGAGCAAGGGTCTTATCACTCCAGTGTTTAAGAAAGGAGACAAGCTGGATCCATCCAACTACAGAGCTATAACTCTACTCTCCATACCCGGGAAAGTTTTCTGTAGAATGGTCCTCATTAGAATACAGGGAACCATCGAGAACCATCTGACTGAGGAACAATGTGGATTCAGAAGTTGTAGGGGCACCACAGATGCTGTGTTTGTCGTTAGACAAATCATCGAAAAGGCCAGAGAAAGAAGAATACCAATCCACTTGAACTTAGTTGACTTTAAAGCAGCATTTGATACCATATGGCGAGAAGCTCTCTGGAAATGTCTGCGTTCCATTGGAGTGGACAAGTCCTTAGTTGACCTCATAGAGAGCATGTACAAACAAACCAAATGTTCTGTTATGGTGAATGGAAAGATAACTGAATGGTTTGATGTCATAACTGGGGTAAGACAAGGCTGCCTCCTCTCTCCAAGCCTCTTCAACCTATTCCTGGAATATGTGATGAAGGACATCCAACAACTAGATAGTGGAATACAGATGGGTGACATGCGTATCAACAACATCAGATATGCAGATGACACCACCCTAATGGAACTCGTATTTGAAAACCTCCAAATCTCAACAAATGAACTGGAGAAAGCATGTAGAAGATGGGGTATGAAAATCAATGCAACAAAATGCAAAGTCATGACAGAGGATCAACAAGATATTTCACTTAACAACACCAACATTGAGAAAGTGGAAAAATTTGTCTTTCTCGGCAGCACAGTTCCATCTATAGAAGAGGACGTGAAGAGACGTACAAGACTTGCTGCTTGGGCATTCGGAAGACTGAAAAGTGCCATCTGGTCCAACCAAGATATTTCTAGGAGACTCAAAGTCAGGATCTACAGAGCACTTATCCTCCCTATTGCCACATATGGAGCAGAATCCTGGACTCTCCGAAAGTCTGATAGAAATAAGCTTGAGGTATTTGAAATGAGGTGTCTCCGGACCATCCTTGGAGTTCACCTAATGGACAAGATAAGGAACGATGCGATCAGGCAGAGACTGAATGTCCCAAGCACCATATGCGAGGAAATAACCAAACGTCGCTTGAAATGGTTTGGCCATGTTTTACGCATGACGCATCACCGCCTACCATACCAAGCATTCCAAAATGACTTTCATGGACGCAGACCACGGGGACGCCCTCCAAAGAGATGGAAGGACCAGGTTCAATGCGATGTGGGATTATCCACACAAGAGGCAGAGCAACGAGCCCAGGACAGATCAGACTGGAGCATGATTTCTCGCAGGGGAGCAAGGGGACACACCGTCCTATGCACCTAAGTCAAGTAAGTCATATTCAAAATATTTAGTTAACAAGTCTATCTATAACCAATGCCTTTACATTGGAAATTGCAGACGATCTAGTTATACTGGGTTGTTGCCAATTGGCAAAATTAATTAGTACAAGTGCTACTTATGCCTTTAATTACTAATTACGTTTTCAATTGGTAGTTGATTGGTCCAGTTAGACCAGTTAAATCCAACTGGTAACCCTGGAAATTGAAATGGGCCAGTTGAATTCTAAGTCAAAGTCGAACTCAGTCAAATATAAATACTATAAGCATGCGTGACCAAAAAAAAACGCGTATTTAAAGGGTGCTTTTTGAGATTGGAAGCGGTCCGCTCGGTGCTGCATTTGGGCCATTTTCAGGAAAAAGGGTAGGCCTAATTTTTTTTCAAAATGGTTCAAAATCCAGCTGAATGCGCCGGTATACGCGTTAAGGGGTATTTTGTTTTGCTCTCAGGGCCAGACTGACCGAGGACAAAAAAAAAAAATGGGTAATAACGCCAAGGCGCGGATCCAGGGGGGGGGTGCAAAAAGAGAGAGAGAGAGAAGGAAAAGAGGACAGAAAGTGAAAGAAAGAGGAGGAAGAAGAAAAGAAAAGGGGGAAGAATGAGATTGTGGGAGGGGCTAAAAGGGCCTTTCCTCCTGGGCTGTTGCCTCCCCCCCCCCCCCCCCCCCCCCCCCCCCCCCCCCCCCACCATCACAAAAATAAGAGAGAAGGAAGGAAAGGGAAAGAAAAAAGGAAAAGAGGAGATAAAGGGAAGGAAAAAAGGAGGGAAAAGAAAAGAAAAGGGTGAAAAGAAGGGGAGATCAGTTGCGGTTAATCCCGCCAACATCTGTTACTCGGGGGCCGAAAGGCCCTTGCCTCTGCCCCCCCCCCCCCCCGCGCATACCTAAAAGAGAGAGAAGGAAGGGAATGGAAAGGGAAAGGGGGGGGGGAAAGAGAAAGAAGAAAGGTAGTTTCCCGCCAACAAGATGTAGATGTAGACAGGGGCGTAGACAACGGGGGGGATGAGGGGGATGCATCCCCCCCACCTCACACGGTGGGGGGGATGGCATGTACAATCATCCCCCCCAGGTTTTGGGGAATGATATTTGCTTACTTAATAAGTTATAATGATGATAATAATAGTAATAATAATAATGATAACAATTATAATATTAATAATAATAATAATTATGATGATGATAATAATAATCCTCATCATTATTGTAATTGTGTTTATTGTTATTAGCCGCATTCACAAGGTGAAAGCCAATTCAGACGGTAAGAAAAAGAAAATCTTACAAGTATTTTGTGGTTATCTTGTGGTTTGGAAACCACAAGATAACCACAAGATTAAACAGGCGCGGATCTACGGGGGAGGTTTAGGGGGTTTAAACCCCCCTTGGGCGGCCCAAAAAACAAACAACAAAAAAAAGGGAAAAAAAAGAAAAAAGAAAAAAAAAAAGAAAGAAAAAAGAACGCACGCTGGAGAGAAACCCTTTCAAGTGCAAATATTGTGAGAAGATATTCAACTCATCTGGTAACTTAACCAAACACATGATAACTCTGGATATAACTGTGTATTTAACTGTTACTTGATTTAAAAAGACGTTATCATGCACTGCTTTTTATGGTCTCCATTGTGTTAATAGATGCCAGGAAAACATCACTTACGGGGTTCAAATAAACACCCCCCAAAAAAATCGGCTCGCCGCTTCGCGGCTCGTGGACGATGCTCTGCATCGTCATTATTTTGGTCAACCCCCCCCCCTTAGCAAAAAGCTAGATCCGTCCCTGAGTCATCCCCCCCAGGTGTACAAACCTGTCTACGCCACTGGATGTAGATCGGGGGGGGGGGGCACTGGAGTACAGATAGAGGGAGGGTTTGGGGGGGGGGGTAAAATTCAAATGATTCCATAACAGTGATTTACAAATGTTTGCTGAAATGACCACCCCCCCCCCCTTCCCCCCATTTTTTTTGGAAAAAGTATGTTTAAGAGAAATAGACAGAAAGAGAGCAAGAAAGAAAGAATAGTGAACTGCCAGTGTCACAAAATAATAAAGAATCAAAATATGCTCATCTGACCGTGATTAAATGCCTAAAACCCCTGAGCTTCCGGGGGCTCTACCCCCTGGATTTCACCTAGAGCCATGAATGCTCATCTGACGGTAAAGATTTATTTATCATTTAATTTTGTGTGTGGCTGTCGACCATTCGAGAGATCTGTCGAACCAACATCCCAACAATAACGTAGAGGGCGGTGTTGAAATTCACTGACGTCAAAGTAGATTTTCCTGATTTCATGTTGTTCAACCGCTCTTATTTTATAGAATGGACCAAGGTTTGTCGAAAAAGGATAGCGTGAATCTTACGGGGTATGTTCATCAATCTTCTCATTACGGGGAATAATGATTATATTAGGAGATGGATCTTTATCTAACTCGCCTTACAATTTTAAAAATAACGTTAGTATTCACTTCGCCGGTACAACACGAAAAAGCACGTATGGGACCGAGTAGAGATTTAACACAGATTTTGGTCTTCTTGCCTGCTTGTATCGACGTCTGTCTGCAAGTGCAATTTGATTAGAAATTGTAAGGGTTTTGATTAACTTTCCCAGAGTGCTTCATTTGATAATACTCCTTATGCTCTAAAGAGTAGATCGTGAATCTAGATCTAGTCTCAACTCTCGACAGAACTCAACGATTTCTCTTCCAAAAATCCAATGTCAACGTCAATGACAATGTGAATGTGTGGGGAAATGTGTGAAACTGTGATTGCGTTCACATGTCTAGATCTAGTTTTGTCTAAGTTGTGACCCTTAGCTTTCCACATATAGGTAATTGCATGCTTGAAGTAAGGCTTATGGGTGTTTCATAAATCACTGATGAGCGTCTGAGTCTGAGCCTGTATTCTACTTTTTTTTTCTAGATCTAGGGTCTAGACTACACAAATAGCAGTAATCATGGAAGAATCCTGGATCGATGAACAGGCTATACACCTACAACATCGTGTATTAAAGTAAAGTAAAGTAAAGTACATGTAGACTAGACTAGTCTATGTTAGCCTTAAGGGCTCTCTGGAAATGTTTTTTATGATATGGTATTCCAGTGAGCCTTAACCGGCTCCCATACCACCGCACGGAGAGGCAGGTAAACAAAACCTAAAATGTGTCCCAAATCACACTTTCCCGCACCTGGCCAATATTTGACAGTGGCCTTGATGAATTACAATGTATCCTAGAAGTAGAAATCTATGCATTTAATTTTTTTTTTGTTTAGCTGACTGCTAAGAATGAATGTGTAGGATTGTAACTAAGCAACCAAGGGACTGCCTGCCTTACCGGGTATGTCCTCTCCGCTGGCCTTTCAGGCTATATCAAATAATTAGCGGTCACGAGCAACTACAAACTACAGTGCAGGGTCTGTGAGTTGCCGTCCATAGCCTTGCATTTCACACCCTGTTCTATAAGGGAGTTTACAGATGGCACATTGTACAAATGACCCCAAATATCCACAGATCTTTTACACATGGAGAAGTTCCACTTTGAGCATCTTAGAATAATAACTGCCAAAGTCCTAGATGTGCTTCATGAATACCTTTTGTTTGACCTCTTGAAAAGAATACTTCACCTGCGTATCATAGAATGTACCGTTGGTGCATAAATGAATAATGTTACATAACTTTCATGAGCGCATATCCAGTTTTCATCTTTGTGGGTTTTACCATTTTGGTACAAATGACCTTTATCTGCCCATGCGCAGATTGTATCTGTAAACTCCCTTATTGTATACGAATGACAAGGGTCTGTCTGCAATCTAGACTACCCTGATCTAAATGTAGTTCTAGTCTAAATTTTGCTGTTTCTCTCTTATTTACAGGTTGTTGTGGGATGAAGCCACTACCAATAAATCATTTGAATCCCTCACCCAGGCCTTCCATGCAAGCTTCAACAAACAAGAGCACTTCAAGGTCGGATCCTCACTGGTATGTATGGATATCTTCACTGGAAGGTGTTTCACAAAAACTAAGATCGACTTTAAGTTGGACTTAATTCTGTCAGGCCTTTCATGCCACCGATTGCTCTCACCATTTACTGGTATTGGTCTCTGAAGGGACGTACAAATAGCGGTCACGAATCTACAGAATTTACATTTTTTGATGATTCATTATTGAAGGGAAACAAAATTATCTTAAGATCATAATGGTGAGAGCAACTAGTGGCTGCATGAACAGTCTGCCATAGTTAAGTCCAACTTAAAGTTGATCTTAGTTTTTGTGAAACACTCCCCAGTTCTGACAGTATCTATAGGACCTAGGACAGCTATCCTTATATTAGTACCACTATCTGCCCTCCATCTGACCCTCCATCCGACCTACATAACCGTCTACCACTATTGTCCCTTGGCCCTCTACCTCCAAAGAAAAAATATGAATTGTATTTGTAAAATGGGAACAACTATTTCCTTCTATCAATTCTTTACTATATTCTCATGAAACAGTTTGACCATATCACTCATGAACATTTAAGCCCCTATGCACTTATTTGGCCAGAATGGACTAGACCTCCCTGCAAGGTCACTGGCCGGTGGTTATCTCATCAAATCAGCTCTCAATAAAAAAAAAATAAGAAAAAGAGCATCATGGGGGATTAACGGGTACCGCTTAGCCATTATTGGCTATATAGAGGGCACAAGTAGTTATAAATAGTGCAGTGGGGCTTTAATTAGTCATTCCATTCTTGATTAATATTTCATACTTAGGTTCTACTGTTGAGCAGCCCTGACCTTTTACCCACACCCCCTCAGCGTCTCGCAGCTCTATTCCTACTATGGGAGATGTACCGCTCAGAGGCCATTGGGAACAACCCATTCGCACCACTGTTCTCTCTTGTCTTGGTAAGTATCACTATGGACATGACTGGCAAAGAAACTTCCCTTCACTGCTATTATGTAAAAAAGGTGAATATGCATGTGACACCTGTTCTACACATTTGTCTACCTGAGGAACTGTATAATTTGTCCGCTTTCTTTGTCAGTCATGTTCATAGTGTATATGAATGCATGTGTATAAACTTGTGTTCAGGGGGGTGTTTCACAAAGATCCTAAGTTGAACTTAACTCTAAGTTGTATTTAAAAATTATGGAGAGCCATTCGTAGCCTTAAAATAAAATATATTAAAAAGCAGAAGTATTTTAGACTTTTCATAAACTTCACATCAAGAACATGAAATCTCCTTGATAATAGAAAATATGAATGATTTGAATCAACATTTTATGAAATATTCTCATACATGCTAACGGCTTTCCATAATTGTCAAGTCAAACTTTTTGTGAAACACCCCCCTGGTTAATTTAAAAAAATAAAATTCTCACATAATCCAACAAAATTTACATTGAATGTTCAAGATTACAACTAAATGATGTGTGCCAGACATTTTGTTTAGTTTAGAAAAGGTATAGTGGCTGAGTAATGAGCATAGAAAGATAAGGAAATCTAGGTAAGTAGGCCCTGACACCATGTGTTTAACACAGGGGCAATTCCACGGTAACGGAAGGACACTCAGACAAGATTTTTGAACTTCAGGTTCATACTAAAAGAAATGTTTTATTAGTATGTATTAAACTATGGGGAACAAAATGTGTTTCAGTCAAGTGGAAAGCTTCATCAACTTCACAAAGTTTGGATAAACACTAATTAACTGGAAAAACCATGTCCATTTTTATGTCCTTCCGTTACCGAGATAATTAATATGCACATTCTTAAACTACTTAACTATAATGACAATTTTTTGGGGGAGAATTGAAGGCACTTATATAGGTATTATATCTGTACTGTTTCACATCTTATACTAATAAAACAGTTCTTTTAGTATGAACCTGAAGTTCAAAAATCTTGTCTGAGTGTCCTTCCGTTACCGTGGAATTGCCCACAGGTCACTCTATGCAAATGGAAGCTGTGATGCCATACTAAGTGAAAACTGTTAAACTCATTTCTTGGATAGAGAGAAGTTCTTGGTACTTGTTTGAGTAATCTCTTTAGCAGCTCACTCAGGAAGCTATACTGGGTTGGTAGGTGAGGCGAGTAGCTGCAGTGAGTGCCAAAAAAGTGCAGAAATGGTGTGTGGACAAAGCACTTGTCAATTTACAGTAAAATATGCTAAGTCCAGTCCAAAATAAAAAAAGGTTTTTCTTGCTATTTATAAGGACCGCAATTTTATAAAAGACTGCTATTCATTTAGTCACACGTTATGGATAGCGGTCCTTATGAATAATGGTCCTTATGCATAGCAAGGTAAATTTTCTATGGTTTGCTGGCTATTTACAAGGGCCGCTTTTCATAAAGGTTTGCTATTTATTTTGGCACGCGTTATGGATAGCAGTACTTATGCATAATGGTTATGTTTTGGTTAGTAAGCTTCCCATAAAAATCATGCTAATAAACTATGTGAGAGCCTAACAGGAGGCTGCATCATTCTGATGGAGGGTAGAGCAGGAGGTTATTCCTTTTGCATTGACTGCTGAGCCTGGTAGATGTTTCCAGATCCTTATCGTTTTTAGATAGTGGGAAAACTTGAAGGAGTCAATAGTTTCATCAGGAATTACATACTTCAGTTTGTGATGACATCTTATTTGGAGTACGCATATTTACAATAACCTCACATTGATTAGGCACGGCTCATCACCTCAGCTATATAGGCGAGCCGATCAACTCCAAATGTTAAGGCGTCGCCTTAACTGCTGCAGATTCGACCCATAATTAGGAGGGGTGCAGAAAATGAGGTTTGAATGTACTTATGTGCAATACTAAAAGGGAAATATATTTGTTATTCCTTTATATTTATATTCTATGTTCATTCAGCAGTTTCAGCTTTTCATTGATATAAAGCTGTATTTTCATTGGATAGGGTGCAATGGTAATTATAAACCTTTAGGTCAGTCAGGAACCCCATGACTTTTACAAGCCAATCGCTTGTCTGATTATCAAGATATTTATGATTGAAAATCGAAATCAAATTTTGTGTTTTCCTAATGGTTTTCATAACACCACAGTCTATTGGGGAAAACAAGTATGGTAAAACCGGTCACTGAACGATTTTTAGTTTTTTGAGGCACTTCTTGATCGTTTTGAAGCGCACTTTTTTTAGGGCTTCAATATTACACCATATCACAGACGCTGATAACACATAGGGCCGTGCATCTCAGATTTAACATTGTTAAAGATAAAGACCAGTTATGGTCATGCGATTGCATTGTGAAAGAAACGTTGTGGAATCGATCAGAAAAGGTTGATCATCTAGCATATACATGTAAGTATTGGTGTGTACTGCAAGGTTCTGGAATCATCAAAATGATCAGAAAATTGGCCCAGTCTTCGTAAAGTTACAAGCACTGTACACAGAAAGATGTATATGGGACTACGCACACGTGCGCGACACATGCGTTATGTCTTTCATGTCCAAATAGATAAACTAATTTACCAAATATATCAATTAGTAGGCGGTTTCCCGGCAAAATTTGTATCATCACGTATTAGTCAAAACATATTCTTTCACATGATTGGTAATAAGAACTTCAATTTCATTTTTTGAGAGGAGGAGGGGGGGGGGGGGGGAGGGGGGTGATTCCAAAAATGGTCTATACCGTTAATGGTACTGTGGTATATACAAAAAATTGTTCATTTTCTACTTCTAGACCAGAATGGAGGATGACAAGATCAGTGGACCTATCCTGGTTGGACCGATCGGCAAATCAGAGAGATACTTCCTCTCCCAGCTTATCACCACAACTAACCCGCCTAGAGAGGTAAACATTTCATATTTGAAAAGAAAAGATGCATTATATACTGGGCATCTACTACATATTTCTTTTTTTTACCCTGATGTAACTGGTGATTTTTGTCCATGACCCCAGTTCCTCTGTATATGAAATATGGTAAGCCCAAGTTGGATCACCCTGATTTTTGCTCAATTTTCTCAAAAAATTGTGTCTGACTATTTAAAACCCCTCTGCACTAGTTTTGCATGGACGGATTAGACCTCCCTGCAAGGTCACTGGCAGGTGGTTATCTCATCAAATCAGCTCCCAATTAACATAAGAAAAAGGGCATCATGGGGGAACAACAGGCACCGCTTAGGCAATGTTTGCTGTAAAGAGGTCGCAAGTAGCTATTAGTAGTGCAGTGGGGCTTTAAAGATAAAGTAACCTTCTGCGGCAGTCACTTGGCAGTTGACAATGTTGCAAGAAGAGCATTTACATCCTTATATGAAATCCTGCTTTGGAGTTTGGAAATAAAACCCATTTTCATGACGACATCTTTATAAATTTCTGTTAAGCTTTTCAAGAAATCACCGCGTCAGATTGTTGCTATGGATCCTGGTCCCAACGCCCCTCATATTGACATTACAGGTCTTCAGCTAGCCCTAGCTGAACGCCAGTCAGAGCTCCCGAGTCTCAGCAAGGCAGGTCTCTCATGCATCATGAACGATCCTGATCCTGATGCCAGGTAAAGGAATAATGATACTAATATATATATTTTTTTTTTTTTTGATAAATAATAATACTAATAATATGTCTACTTTACCCAGAGTAGCCTCATCAGTATTCATACTGTTCTCCCCGAGGGCCCTGCAATCATATCATTACCCTGGAATAATGATAATGGGTGTTATTCCGGTAGCGCGTACTACGTTAGCGCTTACTATAAAGTTAGACCATACTTTTATGGAGTGCCTGTTACCAACTCATTCACCCTGTACAGATTATTTTAATCCTTCAATGAAAAGTGTCTAAAAAATAAATTTTGCAATGAAATGGGAAGAAAAAGTTAATATGAGTATGAACTGAATTTCAACAAAGACTTCGGTAGATTATCTTTGTCATGAATATTGAAGGAGGAAGATGAAACCTAGCATTCCATAGAATTTTTTCACTGATGTTAAGTTTTGTGAAATGGGGCCCAGGATGCCATTATACCACGAGCATGACAAATCTGTACATTTCCATCCTACTCCCTCTAGCTCGGTCTTTGACCCTCAAATAGCCCAGCCTGTGGTGGAGGCCCTCATCTGCGGGTCAAAGCCTCCCATGGAAACGACCTTTACCCCCGAGTTTATCCGTCTACCACCCCCGCTACACATATGTGAGGATGAGGTAAGTATCAAATTGGCAACTTTTTCCCAGGAAAGAATAAATGAACAAATTGTACAACATGTAACCCGAGCAAAATAGTTGTTTGTTTTTTTCATTTTTTTATATGTACTTTCCTAGAATTGTATTGCCAGTATCTGGATGTCCATTTTCTCTTTACATTTCTATGTTCCTGAGTTTTCTGAATTGACTTTGAACTTTACATTTGTAATTTTACTCCTTTCCGATATAGATGTTAAATTGTATTTCATCGACCATTAGTCTGTGTTTTATCTTTGGCTTGTTGACAGTTTTGTTTTGAATTTTATTGCATATAGAGTTATATAGAGTTAAAAGTCCATTTTCTTCTCACCGGGTGTTCATTCTCATCAAGTTGATGACACTCTCACTTTATCTTTATCAACCTCCTTCCCAGTTATTATGGATGAACCCTTCAGACGGCAACCATACCATTGCATGGGACTCCACAATGTGCCAGACCAACAGTGCTGGGCAGGAGGTTAAGAGACTCATGGCCAAGGCCTTCAAAGAGACACTCATGCTCCAACAACAGCAGCAGCTGCTTAGCGAACTGGAAAAAGATCCCAAATTGGTGTATCACATAGGATTGACGCCTACAAAGGTAAGGAAACTTATGTTCATTTTCACTACCTTAGACATGCAGGCCCGAATTCACAAAGCAAGGTTTGAGCTCAGACCAAGGTTTGAGCTCAAACCTCCTTTTGTTTCGCCAAACCTCCCTTTGTTATTTACAAACCAGGTTTGTAAATAACAAAAGGAGGTTTGGCGAAACAAAAGGAGGTTTGAGGTCAAACCTTGGTCTGAGCTCAAACCTTGCTTTGTGAATTCGGGCCATCGTGTTTCAACAATAACAGGAGGTGCTTAGTGAACTCAAAAAAGATCCCAAATTGGTTTACCACATAGGATTGATGCCTACAAAGGTAAGGAAACTGTGTTCATTTTCACCACCTTAGACATGCAGTGTTTCAACAATAACAGGAGGTGCTTAGCGAACTGGAAAAAGATCCCAAATTGGTTTACCACATAGGATTGACGCCTACAAAGGTAAGGAAACCATGTACATTTTCACCTCCTTAGACATGAAGTGAAATCAGATTCACTCACGTTGCAATAAAAGCAGCAGCTGCTTTAATAGTGGACTGGAAAAAAGATCCAAAGTTGGTGTATCTCATAGGACCAACGCCTACACATGTGGGAACAGTGTGCTCATTTTAGTGGACTGGAAAAAGATCCCAAATTGGTTTACCACATAGGATTAACACCTACAAAGGTAAGGAATCTTTGTTCATTTTCACTTCCTTAGACATGTACTGAAATCAGATTCACTCACGTTGCAATAAAAGCAGCAGCTGCTTTAATAGTGGACTGGAAAAAAGATCCAAAGTTGGTGTATCTCATAGGACCAACGCCTACACATGTGGGAACAGTGTGCTCATTTTAGTGGACTGGAAAAAGATCCCAAATTGGTTTACCACATAGGATTAACACCTACAAAGGTAAGGAATCTTTGTTCATTTTCACTTCCTTAGACATGTACTGAAATCAGATACACTCATGTTGCAGTATTAGCTGCTTAGTGAATGGGAAAAGATGAAAAATCTTATATGATGGATACCTAATAAGAGCAGTGAACACATTTTGATTGTCTTAGAGGGGCAAGGAAGCCAATATTAGTTTTAATGTTAGTATCATGAATGTTAACAAATTTAATTGAAATACTACATCTGTTTAATTTATCATAAACCCTTTGAATATAGATTAGGTTTTGTATCACATGAAAAGTCAGATTTACCATTTTAATTCTAGTTTTACTTTGCTGCATACAAAGTTACAAACCCACACATACATGTATATATCTGATGTGTTTTCCAAAAACTATAAGTATTGAATAGCTGCAGTCCAGGGGGTGTTCAACAAAGATTCTGAGTCAACCTTAACTCTAAGTTGGACTTAAATATTATGGAGAGCCATTTGTAGCCTTATAATGAAATATATTCAAAATAAAAAATTCAAGTATTTTAGACTTTTCATAAATTCCACATCAAGAACATGAAATCTCCATGATAATAGAAAATATGAATGATTTGAATCAAAGTGTTTTGCCTTTTAAAATTACTTTTACAAAATACTTAAAGTATACTAACGGCTTTCCATAACTGTTAAGTCCAACTTAGAGATAAGTTCAACTTAGGATCTTTGTGAAACACCCCCAGATCTTATATCATTTTATGACTTTCACAAAAATGTTGTGTTTACTAGAATATGTTTGTTTGGGACTATTTCCAAATTACTCCAACATCTTACGAAATGGAAAATACCGGTAATACATTTACCCTATTCTTTTTACACCTTCAGAATGAAGTAAAACATTTTCTATTTCCCTTTCTTATTTTTGCTTCACAGCTACCAGGGTTGGTGGAGAGCAATCCCCTGGTTGCCATAGAGATCTTGCTACGTTTGATTCAGTCCAATCAGATCACGGAATACTTCGCCGTCCTGGTCAATATGGAGATGTCCCTTCACTCGATGGAGGTCGTCAACAGACTCACAACGGTAAACGCTTTTGACTTTCTCAGACGTGCTAATCTTCAAGATAATAATCATAATTGTGTTAGAGGTGTCGTAGTAGAGTGGTTTAAAGGGGCTGTAGCATGGGGAATACTGGTTGACGCAATCTACGTCTTCTTTTGAACAACTGCACGTAAACGAATGGACTTGATTAACTTTCAGCGTGCTAGCGTTTGCGAAAAGGTGCAAAACTGACCAAAGTTCTCCTCCCGCTTCAGTTTTCGCGTATGTTGCATGCACGTGAAAACTGTGATCGCATCGTCCGTAGTCGTATTATACCCGATTGGCCCCGAGTCAGGCCGCGGGAAAGACACATAGTCTCGTCATGCTACAGCCATCGTACATGTACGTGCTTAGGGCATTGTACTTTCAAGACCATAGCACTGTATACTGCCTAGCCCTGCTGTTTAATTAGCACTGCAATGATGTTATACATGTCTTGAACAGTAGACGGCGCTCTTCCAAATAAATCAGGCCTTTTTGTGTACATTGTACAGTTTTTGAACCTTTTTTGTACAGTACAAAAATGCTGTAGCACAGGCAGTATGAACGTGTTTTAAGCCAATAGACTTGTATTGCAAGGATCATGGCTCATGGGTTTAATCCCGGACACAGCACTAATGTACTTTGGCAAGGCATTAATCAACATTTGCCGCTTTATACCCAGGAGAGAGAAATGGGGACCTGGTAGGATGACGAAAGCCTTTGTGTTAGTAAATGATGTGTGCCCTCGCAGTGACTGTATGGTAGGAAAACTCTGCAGGAAGTGGAGATGGTGCACAATGAATCCAATGACGGGGGGTAATAATATCTGCAAAGCGCTTCGAGACGGTATTTCATTTTAAGCGCTACATAAATCCAGATTATTATCCTTATAAAATGCTTTACCATTAAATGACCAAAGTCCTAAATTAGCTCGTTCAAGGGATTCAATCACTATTCTTTTCAGATGAAAAGTGATTTTGTCTGTTTGGTGCCAGAAGGGCGTTAACTCATACTTGACGCACATGCCCTCTTTGCTCCAAACAGATATATACCCCAGGGAAATTTACTTCAGGCTTTATGTTAATCAAAAGTCGGGTTAAAGCACTAATACATGTACAGTCAAAACCTGTTTTAGTGGCCACCTCTCTATAAAGGCCACCAGTCTACACTGGCCATGCATTTGATCTTCCTCTAGGAAGAGATGTGTGTTGTAGAACCTGTCTAGAAAGACCATCTGTCTACAGTGGCCACTTTTCCTGTTTCCCTTGGGTCACCCTTAAAGATATGTTTGGCTTTATATTATCTCAGAAGATATGGTTCCCTCATTGACTAGATTCCTATTTTATTTTCACTTCAGAATATAGCTATGAAACAACTTTAATAACAAAATACAGAGTGAAAGAATGAGACAGTATACAAATAACGCACGTCTCAGAGTGCAATAGCAGTGAATGCAGTACACGCGAGGTTTCTTTAGATTGGTGCCGCTCTGTGAACGAGCCGCTTGCGGCGAGTTCACAGTGCGCACTATCTGAAGAAACCGAGCGTACACTGCATTTACGTTTCGCACAACAGGGTCAAGTGCGTTATTTGTTTTATAAAATAGCGACACAAATAGCAACAAACAAAAGTTTAGATCTTAAGTTGAGAGTCTACGAGAGTTCGATCTAGATCTAGAGTTATGTTGGTTCTAGACTAAGACCTTGCAGGCTTACCAAAAAGTCCACGGGATTCATTGCCTTGATCAAAAATAAAATCCATAGTGGGTCTAGAGACGAGTCTACATCAGACAGCTGAAATTCCTGGTTTCATTATAAAATCCAAAAAGTCAAAACAGGCCTAAATCCAAGGCAAAGGTAAAATATAAATTTGCTTTCTACTAATACCCCGCTCTAGCTAGCTAGCTAGAGCAAAGCTACGCGTACGCTGCGCTGGGGATCATGGTGGAGCGTACAATATTAGCTACGCGTAGCCTACATGCACTCGAGGGAGCGCGTTCCACACGTACGCGCGTGCACTGGATATCCATGGTAACGTGTAATACAACTTTTTTGTGCTTTTTTCTGCAAAATCGTGCTTGCATCAAAAACTTGTGCATGTCAGGTGACGCGTATTGACCAATCACGATGCTTAAAATACTAGAGCCATTTTATAATACAAAATTATTTTATTTGGCCTAATTTGTTTATTTACTTTATCACATATTTATTTTCTTTATAGGGAGTGGCTCATTCCAATTTCAAAGGGTATTTCAATAGGTCCTGTTTTTGTCAACATAATAGAGAAGTGACATTAAACAACTACAACAACAAAGCTAAGAGGGGACAGCAATGCAACAAATAATGGCATAGAACGTGGTACAGCAAAAATAAAATCTTGATCATACTGTCAAAAATCACATAGAATATCTGATTTTAGATTGAACTATAACATTCATGTAAGTAAATTTTGAAGAAATTTTGTATATGATCCGTATTTTTGCAGGCAGTAGACTTGCCCCAGGAGTTTGTTCATCTTTACATTTCCAACTGCATCTCCACCTGTGAGACGATCAAAGACAAGTCAATGCAGAACAGACTGGTCAGGCTGGTGAGTAAACCTATCTCTTGGTTATGTTGCCTGGGACTTTGTCTCTCTTTCACGAGAGCATACACTTTCTCCATCAATCTCTGTCAGTTTATCTCTCTCTCTCTGTGTCTCTGTCCCCCTTCCTAGATATATATCATTCTCTCTATTTCTCTATCACTCAATCTCTGTCGATCTCTCGCTCTCTCTCTCTCTCTCTCTGTCTCTGTCTCTCTGTCTCCATTCCTATATCATTCTCTCTATATGTATCACTCTCTCTCTCTCTCTCTGACTCTCTCTCTCTCCCTCTCTGACTCTCTCTCACTCTCTGTCACTCTCTGTTGACTTGTAGATCTCTATGTCTCCTTTCCAAGATATATATCATTTTCTCTATCACTCTCTGTCGAACTCACTCTCTCTCTCTCTCTCTCTCTCTCTCTCTTACTCACTTTGTCATGTTTTACAAACAAAATGTCAATGACACTTCTCGATCTCCTCCCCTCCCTTTCTCTCTCAATTAAAAAAAAAAAAATCTCTTTCTGACATTAACCTATGTACATGTATATTTGCATACTTCAGGTGTCTTTTCATGCTCATTCCATGTCAATCTCTTATTTCTCCCTCTGCCTCTCCCATATTGTCTGCCCTTCTCTCTCTCTCTGTTGGGCACTCCCTCTCTCCTCCCCCTCCCCCTCTATCTCTCTCCTTTTAAAATACAACCCCCTCTCCCTTCTCCACATCAATCGATAACCTTCCTCTATCTCTCCTGTGCTTTACATAATCAGTTTCTTGCTCTACTAATATTTGTCCTCTTACTCTCTCCTTTGAAGTAAATAATTACCCAGGGAGGCCCTCCAATGCTCTAATATTTAATCAGATGTGATAGACGTGACTTAATAATATTCTCTTTGAAAATCATTGATTTTTTAATGTACGCAATAGGCAACAGATGTTCCATAAAGCACCTGGACGTATGCCTGAGGGTCATATTTGTATTTCTAACCTTTTTAAACTAACAAATCAAAGTTCCACTGGAGCTTTATGCATTAACCCTAAACAATTTGGTATGCACTTAGTTTATGCTGTAACTTACAAGAATGCATGGTTAATTTAATATCATATTTTTCTGGATTATTGGTAATCAAGCAATTTTTTATCAATCTTTTCAAACTAGGCTTGTGATTTTTTTATTGAGATGCGGGGGTTATTTGGGTTGGTTCATTGCATTATTATTTGAACGAGGCTTGAGTTTGCCAGTAACTATTTGTTGATCTTTATTTACAACTTTTTTCTCATCCGTCTCGCCTTCTTTGAACAGGTGTGTGTTTTTCTACAGTCCCTAATACGCAATAAGATCATCAACGTCAAAGTAAGTGCTTTTTGGTTGGATATGAAAAACACATTTATGAACAATAATATGTCTGGAGTTCATGAATATAATTTGCATTTTCAGACAATTATTTTGTGATTGAGTTGAATTGAGTGGAACTGTTTTATTGAAGAGAGCATGTTATACAGCTCAAGAGCCGATGTTTTTTGTTGTACAAAGTAATTGAACAAAGTTAATTACTTCATAATAAAATCATCAATATACTAATGTATTATAATGGTAATAATAATAACATTCTACTAAATAAACTCATACGAAATAGAAATAGATTTCTTTGAAAGATGAGTATTAAGTAACTAATCTTTGTCAATATTTAAGTAAAAGCTATGAATATGGAGTGTTTTTACAGTTCATTTGAGCATGTCAAACTTGTGTAGTCCCATATACATCTTTCTGTGTACAGTGCTTGTAACTTTTTTAAGACTGGGCCAAATTCCTTATCATTTTGATGATTCCAGAACCTTGCAGTATACAATACCTATATGCTACATGATCAATTTTTTCTGATCGATTGCACACCGTTTCTTTCACAATGCAATCGCATGACCAGAACGCAACTTTATCTTTAAGTTTAGCTTGTATTGAATTGCAGTCCAAATTGCAAATTGATCTGTTCACATATAGTCCATATTTTCCTGTTGTCTCTCCATAGGATCTCTTTATAGAGATGCAAGCATTCTGTATTGAGTTCAGCCACATCCGGGAGGCAGCAGGTCTGTTCAGATTACTCAAGACGTTGGACAGCGAACAGCAGAAACAGTTTCAGCCGTCGTCAACATCACCGCTCACAACACAGCAAGGGAACAAGAAATGATTATCTCCGTAAAATTTGGAATTGTACTCTAGTCATACCACTGAACCACCTCAGATTGATTCCAAACCGACGTGTTCTTGGCAGTTTTATTTTACTGCAGTTGGTTGTCTGATCTGTCGTCGGTCTCGTCAGTGTGAGTGCAAGATCATAACAGCATTGGATCAATATTTTTTAAGAATATTAATATTGGACATTTTAATAGTTTGCATATCCACCATGCAAGATGCTCAAAGTACCCCAATATTACCTTGGCTCTGCTACGCTAATGCTTTCGGTGCTCACAGCATTCTTTCTACCGGCAACCATTTAACACCTGGGTGGAGAGTGGCATATGCAGATTAATATCTTGTCAAAGGACATTAGTACCACGGTGGGACTTGAAGCGCTAACCATGTGATTCACAGTCTGAAGACGTATCCACTAGACTACGACACTTCTACATTGCACCTCTATACTACAATGCAATAACAGACTCAAGGGAACAAGAAATGATAAACTTTGGAAGTCCAGAATATATGAGTAATAATTCGTCCCTATTTTCACAAAGTGACATTAGTGAGGAAAATCGTCACGCAAAGTGAATGCAATTTTTTTTCACTACCGTCACTTCGTGAAAACAGCGACGAACTGCAGCTCTTAATGGGTAATGGTGCTTACAGTTCAAGAAAAGGCATACATTTTTTTCCCTTTCTATTGGTTTTCTGACACTGGCTCCTGTGTCAGTGAAAATCAACCCTACCGCAAGTTTACTTGGATTCGAACCCAGGACCTCATAGTTATGAGACCACTGCTCTACAACTGAGCCATCGCGGCTCCTCACTAACCCTTTACCTACCATGAACAACACACCAGACCTGAAAGAATAAGATATTTTAAATAATCATTTCTCAAACTGGAGTAATTTTTCCTGGGATTTCAACTACCCTTATTGTACACACTTGAATGCAGTTTTGTGGTACATTTTTGGGGGTGTGGACATTTTTACATGTATTCTAAAATATTTGTACAGATACACATGTATTTGGAATATGACTTCAATTTAACTGTAATCCATTTTATGTGATATAGCTACTATTAGCTATTAACATATTCCTCCAATTGTGTATTAAAAGATAAGAAAGACTCACAGAATATTTTGCATTTTTAACAATACTGTACCTTTTCTTCAATACCCTTATTGAGGTCAATCACTCCCAGCTCCATACATTTTTAATATAGCCCCATTTCTGTATGATTTATGTTTTCTGCACCAAGAATGTGTCAGCTTTGAATTGGCAAACCTACAATCAGAGCTTTGTAAATATGTATGTGTATATTACTTGGTAATAAAAGGTTTTGAAAAAAGCTAAGTTCTTGACAATGTGATATGATATACATGTGTTTTGAAGGAAAGGTCTGCTTTAAACATTTGAAATTGTTGAAAAATTGAATACAGAGAGAGAGGGGGAGAGAGAGAGAGAGAGAGGGGATGGGGTGAGAGAAAGACAGCAATTAAGATACACAGATGAAGGGAGAGTAGAAAATATGAGAGAGGAAGAAGAATTAAAAGTGGAGAGAGAGGGTAAGAGAGAGAGAGAGAGAGAGATGAAGAGCTGGGACAGAGAAAGAAGTCGAAAAGAGGGAGAGAGGGTGTGTGAAAGAAATAGAGACGGGGAACGAAGTAAAAGAAACTACAGAGAGATAGAGAAAGAAAAAAGAAAATGGAGAGAGAGGGATTTGATTTAAATACAGACAGGAAGAAGTGAAAGAAAACTGGAGAGAGAGAGAGAGAGGTGGTGGTGGGGCGAGGGGGGGGGGGGGGGGGGGGAACCTGGTAGCAAGAAACATGTCATTAGGGAGATCCTACAAACAACCACCAAAAGGGGGGAAGAAGGAGAAGGGAAAAAAAGGTGGAAAATAACTATGACATCGATAATAGCACCGGAGAACAAAATCATATTTGTTTCAGCTGTCTCTAAGGTAAGACAAACAAGAAATCGCTGCATTTCAATCGTTTCCTTTACACTCTTCAAAATAATCTGACATTTGTCAACAATGACACACATGCTGCCATTACGTATTGATCGTATTGATAAAGATCGTTAACATATGTGTGCGGATATGTAAACTTTCAACAGGGGCAGATTCAGGATTTTGCAGAAGAAAGGGGTAAAACAAAATCCCTGTCGAGTAAAGAAGAAATGGTCATCGTGATTTTAAGACGCTTGTACATATGCTATTTTGGTTAAAAAGGGGCGTGCCGGTGAAGAACGAAACCAAATTTTACCCCCAAAATTATAATCAAACCAACTATATTATGTATCTATTATCAAATACCACAGGAATGATATAAGAAGAAGATGCTGATGAAGAAACAGAAGAAGAAGGATAAGAAGAAGATGATGAAGAAGAAGACGGTGAAGAAGAAGAAAAAGATAAAGAAGACGGTGAAGAAGAAGAAGAAGAAGATAAAGAAGATGATGTAAAGGAAGAAGAAGATAGCATATGAAGTGCTAAGAGACCTATCCGTGTTAAACAAATCATTAGGGATGGAGCTGAGGACATTTTGTAAAACATAGTATTACTTTGTGGAACTACAAAAAGGCTGGATGCCAACCAAATATCTTCTTTTGTTATTATTTGCACCAAATGAATACGTCAGAATGAATTAATATATTAATAGCCGTTTTCAGAGGGATCATTTGATTGGCTAACCATAAACATGAATAATCATATCTTCGCTTTGCCACGCCCACTTTAGAATACCAGCACTTGCTCAAAATTGACTAACGCTTTGACTTTAAAGAGGTGGTTCAGTCTATCTGAATCTGTGCGGGAGGGAACCTGCACATCTATTTCTTAACAAGGTTTTTGCTTTGAAGACAAGGACGCAGATAACAACATTAGGAGACAGCTTTTGCAAGACGATCTGATCCAAGATGGCGTTCAAAATTCTGGCCTTCGCAATGTTGGCTACAATCAGCTTCCCGGCTTCAATAAGAGGATACAATCTAGCTGATTTGATGTGCTCGGTGAGAAATCAATCGGAATAATTTGGTTCTTACCTCTTTTCATTCAAGAAACGGTTATAGCAATATGGTTTATTCTTGATAGATTATGTTTATACTTTCTTGAAACCATAATTCTTATGACTCTTTGGATCGGTCGAAAATGTTTTGAGAAGATTTAACTCTATCTATAAATATTAAACCATATTGTCAAAATCATTTCATGCAAATAGGTGAGAATTTTTTGTCCAACTTGGGCAACAGTAATTTATCTACATTATATATATATAATTTGTGTTGCTGTTAAGCGCTACGTTAGGTGTAGCTAAAGCCAGTGTAACTAATATCCAATAATAATAAATATAATACATAAGTGCATGTTCTGTAATATTAACATGGCTTCACAATCATAATAGCGACTTAATCAATATTTTCCTATTGACATTACTGTTGAACTAGGTTAATGATGTTTATTTTGCAAACGAGTATTATTTATTTTTAACTGTTCTGTATAAACGTTATGCTTTATTATGTAAATATGTTCATGTTTATTCAGGGCCCCATGGAAGACCGCTACTTGTTGGTGAATGGGCTACCCTGTCAAAAGATTAGAAATAAATAAATAAATAAATGAATAAAAATTTGTAAGGCGACAAATCAACGTTCAAGGCGCAACGTGTGCATAGGATGCCATCTATAGAAGCGCATAGAGACTTTATATCATATACGCGCTATGCAAGAGCGAATTATTTGTGTTACTATTGTTGTTGCTCTTACGATTGTTATTGTTATTATTATTATCATTATTATTACTATCATACTCTAGTATTCATCATCGCCGTCACCATCATTATCGATATCATCAGTATTTATATCAGTATTAGTATTATCATTATTCCATCAGTTGATATCGTGATTATTAATATCATCAATAATTTAACATTTTCATGATGATTATTGTTATGTGGTGGTGGGTATTTTACCTGACTGCTAAGAAAGCATAAATGCTTGTAAGTAAGCAACCAGACGGCCGACGGCTTTAGGTCCTCTCCGAGGGACCTGGTAATGAGGATTAATGCCTTACCAAAGGGCACTATAGCGCATCGACTTGGTTTCGAACCCGGGTCACCGGATCACGAGACCACTGCTCTACCGACTGAGCTATCGCGCCTCCTAAATTATCATTATAATCATATCGTTAAAATCGTTATATTTCATTATTGTTACTGATACCCTCTCCCCACCCTTTTTTGTTTAAATTCCTCATCAAGGAATGTGATTGCAGCCCCCCGCAAATCAGGCCTATTCTCTTTGAGAACGGTGTTGCGGTGGACACCCAACCGATAGAAACGTCTGTGCTCATCCCAGTCTACCAGACCGTTGGCTCCTATCAATCAGTCTGCTACTGTCTGTGCGGGAAAAAGCTGGGAGAACCGTGCAACGATCGCTACGACTGTCAGGAAGGCTTGTTTTGTACGGACCGTTTTCACAAGGACGCGCAAGGCAAATGCCGAGGTAAGTTTGGCGATATAAGACATTAAGCCTCGGTCACAAATACCATTACGAACTGCTACGAATGCCGTACGACCGATTTTCAGACCATTTCGGATCTTCTTAAGAAGGCCGTACGAAACCTGCGTTCGTAGACCGTCCGTAAGGCAAAGCAACCCGATAAAACATACACAAATTCATAAGATGTTCTTACGAATGACTTGAGAATGCCGTCAGTTACACGTACGACCATCTTGCGAGAACAAAAACTCGAAAGATGACCGTTGGTCTGACGTAAGAAGAACTCGAGGCATTCTTACGAGAGAAAAAAAAGACAATAATCGGCGTTCATACGAACTCCGTAAGAAGGACGTAAAAAGGTATGCCCCATTTACGAATCTCTACGAACTCTGGAATTCGTACAAACGCATCGTTCGTACGAACATTTGTGACCGTAGCTTAAAGACCGTCAATACTACTGGGCCAGAAGGGATTAGACCACACAGCGAGGTCACTGACAGGTGGCTATCTCATTAACTCAGCTCTCAACTAACATAAGAAAAAGAGGATCATGGGGATCAACAGGCACCGATTGGGGAACTTTTCTATATAGAGGGAGCAAGTAGCTACACGTAGAACAGTGGGGCTTTAAATAATTTTGTAGTCAGAAAAGAATTGCCCCTACATCCGGATAAAATTCGACTTCCAAATCAATCCTTCGTGACTTGACACATTGCAAAATGAATCAGTTGACTAATCAAAAAAATTATCAATTTGAAAAAATGAATAAAACAAATTCAAATCTATTATTGAAATAGACTCCACAAATAAATAAATATATATATATATATATATATATATATATATATATATATATATATACATATATATATATATATATATATCGTAATGAGTTATTAAGTAATCATTACAAATGTATTTATTATGCAGAAATCAATATACTATTTCAAAATGAGAAGCGTATAGAAAGTACTTATTGAAGACTCTTTAAATATGCAAACAATCAATATACAATTTCAAAAAAGAAGCAAATATCTTGCTGAAGATTAATTAGTACTTACTTGTAATTACAAACGAATAATCAAAACGAGTTATTGAAAAGTCAAATTCAAGTTCATCGTTGAAACTAACAGATTTGTATCAAATATTTGTAAAAATAGTAGCGTGAAAAGTGTAGAAGGTTGACATCCTGCAAAACTTTAACAAATAAATTATGATTATGTTTTATTTGAAATGTGTATATATAATTATTTAAGTTATTACTATTCATTTTCTCATTTTCGTCTTGTTAAAACAAAATATTGATGTACAAATTGTACATAAAATATGTTTTTATGAAGTTTACTAACATTTACAAAATGTAATTAATAATTCCTTACATGTATGATGGTGATGATACACAAAACATTTAAATTGTATAGGCCATTATATTCATCAATAAGTCAATCCCGTTTCTAAATTCATTTAAAATGAAGCATAAATTATATTTATTATCTTCTTATCAACAATTTATCATTATTTTTTCAGTTGTTTTAATACCCCCAACGCCTTTGTTTTCATTTATTGTTTTTTTTCTCCGCCGAAAATGTAATCTTATAACTTGATCATTCTTGAGACCATCAACCTGTCAAGTCTCAGTTGGCTTTTTAAAATGATGGCCCTTTTATTCTTCTTATTTTATGTGAATTGATTTAATTTACGTTGTATTTAACATTGAGATGCTTTGTATATAGTTTAAAGCCCATCTGCACTAGTTTGGCCAGGGGGATTAGACCTCCCTGCAAGGTCACTGACAGGTGGTTATCTCATCAAATCAGCTCTCTATAAGAAAAAGAGGATCACGGGGGACCACCAAGCACTGATTAAGCATTGTGGCTACATTATAGAGAGGGCGCAAGTAGCTATATAGTGCAGTGGGGATTTAATGTTTTGCATGTGTTTTTTTTTTAATAAACTGAAGAATGATTAAAGAATTGTAAGAAAAAAACTTTCCTTTTTCTCTAAAAGGAAAATGCGGTAAGGATCCCTATTTCAAGGAATGCAAGCTGTACGAACGCTGCGTGCTGACTCGGGACGGTTCCCCGAGCTGTGAGAGAATGGTGAAGCATTGTAAAGAAAATCTCTACTTTCCCGTCTGTGCAACCAACGGGGAACGCAACGTGACGTTTACCAACAGGTATGTTTGTTCACCATTCTCTCTCTCTCTCTCTCTCTCTCTCTCTCTCTCTCTCTCTCTCTCTCTCTCTCTCTCTCTCTCTCTCTCTCTCTCTCTCTCTCTCCCTCCCCCTGTTCGTACTAACTTTTATCAGAGTTAAGATGTACAAAAAGAGAAAAATTCTATACGCGCAAAAGATGTAGAGTGGTTTCCTGATAATACTACGTGCAAGGCAAGATTGATCCTTTGTAATAGCGCCAACAGGCGACAATAATAATTCTTATTCATGATGCATTTCTGAATTTTTAAAGTCCGATACAATATATGTCTGCCGTCTGAGAAGCAAAGAACAATGAATGCAAAATAAAATAACTAGTGTTTAAAAGTTGGGGATTAGCGAAGTGTCAAGACTGACTGATAAATTTAGGGTAGGATTTTAATTAGTACTATAAGTATGGTGGCCCTGAAGGGACATCGCGAATAGACTAAATCGTGAAAAATATGCGATAAAATTCACGATATCGTCAATTTTATTGCATATTTTTCACGAAGAAATTCACGAAATTGACGATATCGTGAACTTTATCGTGAACTTTTCACGATGAAATTGACGATATCGTGAATTTTATCGTGAAAAGTTCACGATATAAAGTTCACGATATCGTCAATTTTATCGTGTACTCTATCGTGTACTCTATCGTGTACTCTCCTGACGGGCGCTTCGTAAACAAAACCAGCCCTAGCTGGGGGAGACAGAGAGAAGGAAAAAAGGGAAAGGGAAAGAGAAGATAAAAGGAAAGAAAGAATAATAAGAAGAAAAGAGGGAAACGGGGGGGGGCGAAGGGCTCTTGCCTCCTCCTCACTCCCCCCCGCCAAAAAATAAATAAGAGAGAGAAGGGAAAGGGAAAGGGAAAGGGAAAGAGAAGATAAAAGGAAAGAAAGAAGAGGAATAAGAAGGAAAGAGGGAAACGGGGGAAGTGCGAAGGGCTCTTGCCTCCTCCCTCCCCACCCCCCGCCAAAAAAATAAATAAGAGATAGAGAGAGAAGGGAAAGGGAAAGGGAAAGAGAAGATAAAAGGAAAGAAAGAAGAGGAAGAAGAAGAAGAAAAGAGGGAAACGGGGGCGAAGGGCTCTTGCATCCCCCCGCCCAAAAAATAAATAAGAGAGAGAGAGAGAGAAGGGAAAGGGAAAGAGAATAAAAAAGGAAAGGAAGAAGAATAAGAAGAAAAGAGGGGCTCTTGCCTCCTCCCCCCTCCCGCGCCAACAAATAAATAGGAGAGAGAGAGAGAGAGATAGAGAGAAGGGAAAGGGAAAGGGAAAGAAAATATAAAAGGAAAGAAAGAAGAAGAAGACGGAAAGAGGGAAACGGGGGAAGGGCGTAAGGCTCTTACCTCCCCCTCCCCCCTCCCGCCATAAAGGGAAAGAGAAGGGAGAGGGAAAGAAAATATAAAAGGAAAGAAAGAAGAGGAAAAAGAATAAGAAAAGAGGGAAACAGGGGCGAAGGGCTCTTGCCTCCTTTATTTTCTTTTTTTTTCCTTTCTTTCCTATTCTCCCTCTTTTTCGTTTTTCTCTTTCTTTCTTCTCTTTTCCTTTCCTTCTCTCTCTCTCTCTTATTTATTTTTTGGCGGGGGGCGGGGGGACGAGGCAAAAGCCCTTTGCCCCCGTTTCCCTCTTTTCTTCTTCTTCCTCTTCTTCCTTTCCTTTTATCTTCTCATTCCCTTTCCCTTTCCCTTCTCTCTCTCCCTCTGATTTATTTTTTGGCTGGGGGGGGGGGGAGGGGGGGCAAGAGTCCTTCGCCCTTCCCCCGTTTTCCTCTTTTCTTCTTCTTCCTCTTCTTTCTTTCCTTTTATCTTCTCATTCCCTTTCCCTTTCCCTTCTCTCTCTCTCTCTCTGATTTATTTTTTGGCGGGGAGGGGGGGGGAGTGAGGAGGAGGCAAGAGCCCTTCGCCCCCCCCCCCCGTTTCCCTCTTTTCTTCTTATTATTCTTTCTTTCCTTTTATCTTCTCTTTCCCTTTCCCTTTTTTCCTTCTCTCTGTCTCCCCCAGCTAGGGCTGGTTTTGTTTACGAAGCGCCCGTCAGGAGAGTACACGATAGAGTACACGATAGAGTACACGATAAAATTGACGATATCGTGAACTTTATATCGTGAACTTTTCACGATAAAATTCACGATATCGTCAATTTCATCGTGAAAAGTTCACGATAAAGTTCACGATATCGTCAATTTCGTGAATTTCTTCGTGAAAAATATGCGATAAAATTGACGATATCGTGAATTTTATCGCATATTTTTCACGATTTAGTCTATTCGCGATGTCCCTTCAGGGCCACCATATATAAGTGTACCTATAATTATCATTAGAGCAGTGGTCTCGTACCAGAAAGGTCCCGGGTTCGAAACCAACTCAATGCTATCAGGCGTTAATCCTAAATAACAAGTCCCTCAGATATGCATTTAAGCCGTCGTCCCCTGGATGTTAACTTACAAGCATAAACATGCTTTCTTAGAAGTCAAGTTCAAAACAAATATTTCAAACAAAATTAGTACTCAATAGCTGGATATGAAGCTTTTGGGTGGAAAGACTCTTACAGACTGGTTCTCTCAGACTATGATAAAACTTTAGCCTCGAGTTTTTAAAAAAAGTCACTAACGAACATACAAGGCATTTTTAAAAAAAATGTTGTAGTGCCCTTTGCGACCGACCCCAACATTTTGAAATCTACCGTCGGCTTTTTAATTTTAAACTGAAAAATATCAGCCCAAAGGGAGAGAGTAAGAAGAAGAAAAAAAAAAAAAAGATTTCCGACCGACCGACCCATGTTTTGGGAACATCTTTTTTTAGGCCTAATAGTTAGTAATTACTATTTAATTTGTAGGTGTTTCATGGAGCTTCATAACATCGAACTTCGAGACACAGACGTGACCGAATACAGGCATCAAACAAAAGGAGCTTGTCCAGGTATGTATGATCACATTGATAACCTAAACCCGTTGTACACGTACGATGCGTCATTATTGTGTCTGACGTAGAAGTGCGCCAATGAATGATGCGCTCTGTGACGCGACACCATTTAGTGATATCTTAACCCAACAAATAATGATATGTGCAAAATGAATAGTGCAAACGTTGCTGTGAATTATTGGCGCATGCAGTGCAACGATTACCTTTGTCGAACATTATTAGCATTGTTAGGCCCTTGCACGCGAAGCGTTATTTGACTAACGTTGCACTGCGTCATTGACTGATCCGGTCTTGGACGTGACATGTTTGAGTGGTATATCGTGCAAGAAAAAAGGGATGCAAAGTAAACTGTGCAAAGGATCGGGCGCATGCACTGATTGCCTTTATGCGCTTCATTAGCATAGCTTGGCCCATTGCGTCATTTTCCTGACGTAGGACTGTGCGTCAGTGACTGGTCAAGTTTTCGACCATTCTGAAAGTGACATCGTACAGGAATTGAATGCAAAATAAACAGTGCAAACATTGTTTTTAATCGATGAGTATAGGTATTACGAGCTTGTAGCTTGTGATGTTTTGAATGATAAAAATGAAAACTATTTCACCTAATCTTCCTGGAACAATCTCAAAAATATCATGTATATATAGGATGATTTTAAATATAGGGTATGGTGGTTGGCTCCACGTCAGCTCGTTTATGTCATTTATCGACGATGGGGGCGTTCAAAAGCATACATTTATAGGGCACGTTTACACTATGGTATTCTTCCAATCCGACGTAAATCAAAATAGTGTCAACGCCCCGGTTACGGACCTCGCAATGTATTTGTTACATGCAAACAATGAGAAAGCCCATTGATATCCATTTTGTATTGGATAATAGAAACATTAAAACATCTATTTTGTATATGTAGAACTACCTTATTTATTTATTTGTTTGTTTATTTGTTAGTTTGTTTGTTTATTTGTTTGACATCTACAGGAGATGCTGGGAGATTCATCATGGGAGCCCCGGCTACTTAAACGGTGAACGTTCGGCATGATCTAGGAAACAGGGACTTTTAGATTCGCACAAAGACAATGGGGATTGCTACGGTCGACGTCCTTTTAATGCACTGCCTTGAATGGACGTCACACGTATCAGTCCACGCAAATCTAAAAGTCCCTAATAATGTCTGCTCATCGACGAAGCAGCTATTCTTCATAAATTTTCCCCACTTTTCTATAGCGCTAAAATTGTCCTCTCGTCACAAAAACAATACAGCTCAAAACGTACCAGTTTTTTGTTTGTTTTAAGATTACTAGCCTCGGTGGTATTCTGAATATTATGTTATCCTTTTCTTTTAGTATACATAATCTACCATAACAAATCTGAATTCATGACCAAGTGATTTGGCGTGAGTTCATCTATTGAGGGCGCACTTCACGATTTGGGTCACCGTTACATCAACAAAATAACAATTAAAAGTGAAGAAGATAAAAAAAAGCTCCTTATTAAATGAAGGGTTCGGGATGTTATCCAAATTCCATACGTATTCTGTTCTCGTTCTTTTCCCTTGCCCTTTTTTCCTTTTCTCACGTTTCTCTTTATTTTTCCTTATTCTGTAGTTGTAATGATTTTCAGTTTGTGTTATGGCAATTCTATCTTATCACTCAAATATAAAAAATATGATGATTTTCAGAATACCACCCTTACAGGCATAATACATATATCTCATTCTATCAAAGGACTCATTGTAAAATAGTTTAATGTATGGGAACAAGAATGGATTGAAATAGTCGTATTTAACTAAAACCTGTAGATCTTTATTGTAAATCGGTTAGAAATTGAAATTATAATGATAATATTTTCGAATGTTTACCGTATAACAACCGCATGTTAGCAATATCATATCAAATATTTTTTTTATGTTTATATCATTATTATCATTATCATTGTTGCCATTATCAGTGTTGTTATTTTTATTGTCATTATTTAACATCATTATTATTTATCTTTCTTATTTTGTGTATTATCAATTTCATCATCATCATCCCCATTGCTGTTATTATCATTATCATGATTGTTATCTTGTATTATTTTTCCTATCATGGATTTATCCTATTATTTTACTTATTATTATTATTCTTACCATTATTATTAATATGATTATCTTAATTATTATCATCATTATTACTACAAAAATTAATTTTTGATATCGTCAAGAATAACATTATAATTACAGTTGTCATGATTTTTGTTGTTTCCTGTAATCAATTTTTTTTTTGGTTGTTGATTATGAAATATCAAACATTGTTAAAAGTACTGGTATCGATGTTTGACAATTTTGATGGTGATAAAATTGTCACTTTTACCTTTTTTCATCATCATCTTCATAAACGTCATTATTATTGTTATTATTATTATCATTATTATTATGATTGTTACCAATTGTATTATTCTTGTATTACTGATATTGTTAGTATCATTACTATTATTATCATCATCATTATAATCATCATCGTTGATGTTATCAGACTCATTGTGATTATTCTTCTAATATTCCTTTAGCTCGAAGACTTGTAATTACTTTAGAGGAAGTATCGACCACTCTGTATACTTTCTCATCACAACGCACCAGTTATTTGTTACAACCGCATACTGTAAAGCTAATCTTGGGCCCCGGTATTGGAATCGTTTGTCGAGAGAACATGGCTATAATTCATTCTGGATTGTTTATTCGCGGCAGCAGATTGATTGTTTGAACCAGTAAAGTAAAAACAAATTCACCAATACTTGCTGGAAATCATCTTCAATAAAAACCACAATTATCCAAAAATAGTGACCTGTGTTTAAAAATGAGCACAATGGCGTAGGTCATCTTACCTTGAATTCCTTATCTTGAGATGCTCATTACTCAGCCCTCATACATTTCTACCAAAATCGTTTGGCACATTTAATTTATTTGTAATCTTAAACATGTTTTGATTCTGTGAGAATACATTTTCTATCATTACCAGAACTCAACGTTTTCTTTAACTTAATCGACATACACCATCCACCCCCCCCCCCTACAAAAAAATGGAACGTAAATTACAAATTGTCTGAACTGTTCATTGATAAAATTACATGATTATTATTGTTATTGCTGGTTTTTATGTTTTTATCATCATTTTTATCATCGTCATTATCATGTCGTCATTTATATCATTATTATTATCATCATCATTTGCTATTATTGTAATCAGAAGTATAATTTTTATTATTATTATTTTTATTACTATTATTTTTTGTTATTATTATCATATTACTTTTATTCTTATTTTATTATTGTATTACTATTATTATCATCATTATTAGGACTGCTATAATTGTTTATTTACATTATTGTTATCATTATTTGTATTATTATTATTAAACATTATCTGTATCATCATCATCATCTTCATCATCATCATCATCATCATCATCATAATCATTGAAATTACCATTATTATTTGTTATTACCATTATTGTAAATTTCTTTCAATTTCAGCCTTGATTGAATTCATAGCTCATGTCACTAAAACCTTAATGAGATTCTATACAATTAAAAGAAATAAATCTATGGTTATTTCCGCTATATATTATCGTCATCAGTATTTATTTGTTTTAATTGTGTTATTATTTTTTAGTGGTTTTCATTACAGTTGTTGTTGTTGCTATCATGCATTTGTTATTACTCTTGATATCATTATTATCGCTGTTTTATGGTTTCCATTATGAATATCAATTACCATCTAGTTTTTTACTTGTATTATTGTTGTTATTTCATCATTATCGTAAAAATTAATACTATTTAATTAAGCGTTCGCTAGATGTAATTATTTTACAATATACGTGAGTGGTGTTGATACTACAAATTTTGACGCTCTTATTAATGTTCATATCGCAAAGCCTAGTAGGGATGTCTAATATATTTATTTTAATCTTTTTTTAAAAATAAATATGTGTTATTTACTGTTTGACGAATAGTTCATACCATATGAAATCTTAACTAAGAATGTTAACATGTTATCACGCTAATATCTTCCCAAGCTAGTTAAGAACACCCAGGATTATTTTTAAAAGTTGATTTGAAAACACCAACCGATTCCTGTCGGAAATAGGCCTACAATTAGTTGAATATCACGAATAAAAATAGAGTCAATCTCTTTCCGCTGAAGAGCTGCGTTTATATTTTCCCCCTCATTTTTGTCGTTTAACAATCGTGTTAATTTGTGTGTACAGACAGTAGGGGCATTAACTTGCTTACTTGCTGTAGGATGAAAGCCTGACACAATGGCCCACGCTATAGAGACTTGAGTGGGACTGCACTACTTGTAGCTACTTGCGCCCTCTATATAGCAAACAATGCCTATAAGCGGTACCCGTTGGTCCCCCATGACCCCCTTTTTCTTATGTTAATTTAGAGCTGATTTGATGAGATATCCACCTGTCAGTGACCAAGCTGGGAGGTATAATCCATGCTGACCAAATTATATAGTGCAGCCAACCAGGCTTTAAGTGTGAAAAACTGTATATTTGATGTATGTATATGTGTGTGAGTGTGTGTGTGTGGGGGGGGGGGGGGGGAGGGGGGTTAAAGAGAGATAGGTTTACATGTACTTTTCAGCAGTATTACTGCTTTTCCCCTTTCGTGGGGTATTTAAAAAAAACCGTGGGCTATTGGAAAATAAGCAAAGTTAAATAAGTATACAAATTTCTCAAATCTACGACATGAATCGGGCAAAAAATTGCTTGGTTATTAAATAGAGCGAGATAACAAAAGGCATTGCCCCGGGGAACGAAGACAATACCAAATATTGTACCCCCTGGAAATATATTATACGGAGCCCTTTTATAGTTGTTCTTCTAAAATCTATTTGACCCGATCAGTGATAAGCCTTTATTAGAAATATGAAAGAAAAAAGGTTGAATGCAAGTGAGAGCATCATATTCTTTGCTATTGTCACCGATTGTTAGGTGGGTTTCTAACGGACTATTTGAACTGTAGAGATATGCCGTTGCCAGGGAGAAGACATAAACAAATATGAAAATATCCATGAGAGAGAAAGAGAAAGAGAGAGAGAGAGAGAGAGAGAGAGAGAGAGAGAGTGGGTGGGGTTAGGAGAGAAAGGGATTAATCTTCATTTATTTCATATCATTAAAGATATATTTTAAAATATATAAAAGCATTTGTGTTGGTGCGTGTACGTGTATGAGCGAGTGGAGAAAGAGAGACTGTAAGATGAGTGAGAGAGAGAGAGAGAGAGAGAGAGAGACAGAGAGAGAGAGAGAGAGGGGGAGTGAGAGAGAGGGAGAGAGAGAGAGAGAGACAGGGGGATATAGCGAGTGAGTGAGAGAGATAGATAATCAGAGATCGATGGGAGGAAGAGAGAGAGAGAGAGAGAGAGAGAGAGAGAGAGAGCGAGAGACAGGGAGACGGAGAGACATGGAAAGCTGAGAGAGACGGGGGGGGGGGGGGGTGAGGAGAAAGTGAGAGAGACACATACAGAGACAGAAAGGCCTTTGTGAGAAAGTGAGATGGAGGGAGAGAGAGAGAGAGAGAGAGAGAGATTGGAGGTATATATATATATATATATACACATATATATATATAGAGAGAGAGACAGAGAGACAGAGAGAGAGAGAGAAAGGGGAAAACATAACAAAACCATCAATAAACATGACGTGGAAAGGGGGGGGGGTGTCAAAGAGTTTTATTTTTTTAATTTTTACGTTGTCTTCCCATCTATATCCATTTCCGTGGAATGAAATGATGATGAGATTGCGTAACCCGAACATATTTTCTATAGGATTACACCAGGGTATGTGAGTTAATGTCTCACCTCCCTGATTACACATAATGTCCTGAAATTGACTTTGAGTTGATTTCTCGAAAGTCTTAACATTCAATCTACACTGTACGTTTCCCATTCCGAATATAAACAAATTCTGACCTCTATTCACGAAATGGCTGTGCACTGCCCTTATTCTTCACGGATAAAGTTGAAATTTTACTCGGGAGTTTATTCACCAATCTCTATTACTCTTTCGATTGATCAAAAAACTTATGAGAACATGTAATATTTTTATTCCGTCAGTATTATAGTGGTCATGAAAAGACCTAACAAAAGACTATTCCAGCTTTGTTGGCAACAGTGGACTAGGGAGATATAAGAATGTTAAAGGAATACGATATGCCCATAATAAGGACAAACGATGCAGGCTTAAATGTCAACAATACACATTCGAGGTTAATAATCTGCCACGGAGCTCACTTTTAAATCCCTCTTCGCGACCAAAGAAGCCCCTCTCGAAGTAAATTATACCCCGCCTCTGTTACCCCTAATGTACTTATAACTCCGAACGGTTTATATGTTTCGCTGCTAATACCCGATTTTCTTTTGATCAGCACAACAAACCTTCGAGTGCTGTGTATACCATTCTGTTTACAATGCGCACACACTCGACCGTGTCAAACACCCTACTACACGTGCGAAGTAAGCGGGATATAAGCATATCGATTTATGTTGTCTCAAAGTGTCGGATCGCAGGTTTGTAGTCGATATAAGCTCAAGGTTCTAGGTCATTACATTAAACACGTCTAATTTCTAGCCAAAGTCGTCTACCTTTCTTGACTCTTGGCCTAAAGTACGACAATTTCAGTTGCTGTGCATTGCGTGGAATATATTTGGAGAGTCTGCGGAGTTTTGCAAAGTTCGTCGCTGCATGAATGAAAATCCGTGATTTTTTTTTCGAGATACGCTTATTATACACACAGGCACCAGTGTATGAGTGCTGGTGAACTAGTTCGGTTGCTGAAAGTTATAAAAAGCTTGTTACAGGTTTTCATGTAAGCAACAATTTGAACCACTTATCAACAGACTTTGCTTTGGATATTTAGAAATTTTGATGGAGTAATGGGTGCATTATGTCTGCGTTCGGCGGAATCTTGCAACAATACTCTGTGAACCTCGCCAGCAAGACTGGCAGTGTCGTCGGCTGCACCGTCCCGCTAGAGGTTTCGCCCCGCGACAGTATGGGCGACCCGCGCCCTAGCAACCGACTCCGTGGACCAGACGGTCACGTCAGATTTTATTCCGAATCTGCGGTGGAGTTTTACAGGCGGAATTCGTACAGTGAAAGATCGTCGTGGAGTTATGGCAGAAAGGTTTGTGAAATCAAGTTTTTGAGAACGTGTGATATGGTGTTAGTTTTGTAAGTGCGTGAAGTTTGTTGGGGTGGGTAAATAAAAACGCGCACGAACAACACGTGGTATAGATAGATCGGTGTCAAATCATGTGAAATTCATAACGAACAGCTAATACGTTTATTGTTTATAAAAAATAATAATATAGGACTCTATTGACATAATGGAAAAACTTTATTATTCATTTTGTTTATACACTAAACTAAGTGCATATATATGAGCAAAATAGTACGTGTTCCTAAAAGAACCTTTTTACACTCGGACTGTTTTTCATTTTTTCGGCCTTTTTTTTTTAAAAGACGACACAGACAAGCAATATTTAAACAAATCGATCCTTTCTTATTAACATTGAATTGAAACATAATGATCGACATGACATGTTGTAAAAACGCTTGAACTTCAGACCTAGCTACATGTCATTTGGGGTTTCTTTGAACCATCCCGTCAAATGAGATTCGGCATTTTGTTTAGAGAGAGAGAGAGAGAGAGAGAGAGGGGGGGGGGGGGTTGAGAGGGTCGTATTTCATTTTCTTGGACTTGAAATTAATTTAAAGTGTCATTGCCCTCGGCTAAATGTATTTTCACCAAGCACCCTAACAAACACCAGATCTGTGTGTTTCTACAAAACATGAGTATTATTCATCTTATAAACCTTTGTTTTTTAATTATGTTTGTTGCTAATCGAGAAAAATATAATCATGGTCACTTCGCGTGTTAAATTCGTGAGAGTTGCGAGAGACGTGCAAAACGATTCTGGAAAAAGTCTCTCATAGAAATTGATAGACAAAAGTGTGAAAGCAACAATGTTACAGGCTACACTGTAATATGATTGTGAATGTTCCCTCAAATTTACCGTTATCACATCGTCCATGACTCATTGCTTTAGAATTAAGATGTATACAAAGTTATCAAGCAGTATGAGTTCAATGAATTTGTAATGTTTTAAGAATATAGATCTGTCTTCAAACTCCGTTTGAATTGTTCTTTTGTTGGTGATCAATTCAGTTAAAGCTCCTCTATAAATATTTGGGACCCCCAACAATTTGATGGCGAAATTTCACTTATGGCAACAAAATATCTTGTCTGCCGATATAGAAAAAGGTATAAGCTTGGAAAAAGATGTCATTTAAGATACATTTCTGCAAGGATTTTCAAAACAAATGTGTTTAAAGTCAACTATGGATGAAAGAATACACAAATTAAGTTTCCTGCGTACAACAGAAAACCCAAATTGATATAATTATTAAATTGATTTTGCACGGAAAAATGCACCAATCAATATTGAACTGTTTCTCTCGAACACAACCACAATTATCTCAACTAACCACCAAGGGCATTGACAAAACCAAGCGCAATTGATTGTTTATAACTGTTCTATTATTTATGTATACAGTGGACACTTAATTAATTGTGCAAAACGTCCGGGCTATTAATGATACCGATACCAATACTACTACTAATAATACTGATAATAATTGATAATAATATTAATAATAATACAAATGAAAAGAAAAAGAAAAAGAAGAAGAAGAAGAAGAAGAAGAAGAAGAAGGAGAAGAACAAGAAGAAGAACAAGAAGAAAAACAAGAAGAACAAGAACAAAAATAACAAGAAAAAGAAAAAGAATAACAAGACCAAGAAGAAGAAGAAGAAGAAGAAGAAGAAGAAGAAGAAGAAGAAGAAGAAGAAGAGCAAGAAGAAGAACAACAAGAAGAACAACAAGAAGAACAGCAAGAAGAAGGAGCAGAAGAAGAAGAAGAAGAAGAAGAAGAAGAAGAAGAAGAAGAAGAAGAAGGAGAAGAAGAAGAAGAAGAAGAAGACAGAAGAAAAACGGTCCTCTCGAGTTTTTCCGATCTATGTGCCCACTTGAAATTAATCAAATAGTTACGATTAGGAATCAATCTTGTTTTACATTGGGAGGTACCATCGGGCATTGTCTTAGTTATCTTGTTCTTAATTATCAGTTCTTGTTCAAACATCCAACTTCTTAATCTTAACCCTCGAAACCTTTTCGCACCTACTTCAAGTTGGTATCGGTTATTATTCAATTACACACGTTCAGAATGTATAATGTGTATGTAGCAAGTGCCAGGCCGTCTATGTTATGTTATCAACTGAAATGTGATAAACCATAAACGCAAACGAGAATATCATATGTCAGCAAATAAAGACGAATGTGACTTTGACTTTATAAAGTGGCAGGTGGCAAGTGACTTGATAATAGAATTGCCCACTGTACCAAGTTTTTCATTATTTTGCTATCTCTGATTTAGCTTCAGTTTCATTTGTTTGAGAGAAAAATGAATACTGCAAAAATGTGGACAATGTAAATAGGTCGACCGAATACATATTGACTTACCAAAATAGCAATGGATATTGTGTATAATAATTATGTGCGGTTCTCTCGTATATTTTACGCTTCTAGACATAATGTAATGAGTTTGGTTTGAGGAAATTTTTGGGTAACTAAAGAACTTTGAGTGATACTGATAGAGAGACAATATTAAAACGGTGAAGAGAGAAAGAAAGGGGAAGGGGGGGGGGTAGATTCAAAGCTTGATACTTCTGCACACATGCTCCTGCTGTCATGTTCTATCTGCTCCATCTGTCTCCTTTCCACACCATCTCACTCAAACTCAATTTTCCTCACGTGGAAACTATATTCCCAGAACCGAGATATCAACTTTACAGTCGTTTTGTCGACGGTATAGTCTTTGACGTTTATTTAGTACATCTTACAAATCATTTTTTGTCGTGGTATTATAGATATTTTAATATCCAAATTACTATTCGTCCCTTGGTGAATATTCGAGGATTAAAAAAAGAAAGAAGGGATATTTGTTGAAAGCTTTCACCTGCGTGATTTGCATATATATGGATAAAAATCGCCTCTTGTTTGTTGATCGGATGATTTTTTTTTGGGAGTGATTTCGACGATGTGATAAAGTTTATATCTTCTCAGAAGTTATGTAAGTGATCAAACTTTACGACTCTTCAACTGTATAAATAAAGTTCTGAGAAGATCTACATGTACGTATATTTATCTCTCGAGAATAAATGATAATTTACCACAATCACTTCATGAAAAGGAGAAAAGAACATTATTCCGACTTCGGGGCTACAGTGTATTAGCGTGTAATAGTGGTGGCCCGCATACTATAGCGCAGTAATACACCGGGCTGTGTTTTCGAATGCAATATAGCGTATTCGCAGTAAATTAAAGAAAAATATATACTGATTTTATTTTAAAATGACTGATTTTGAGTCTTTTGAAATGCTCTGACAGAATTCCACAGCTCTCAGAATAACACGCTATAATTCGAGATGTCCCCCTGAATTATTCCAGCTGACACGGATGTTTGTCATGTCCCGATCAAATTTCGGGTATCTTCGCGTCCCACCCGATTCGGGGTCGTGATCCGAGATGTACACATAACCATGGCAACGCTGTAAACAATTTGCTCTCCGAAGATAATAAACGACCTTCGCGGTCATCAAGAATTGACCCCCATATCAACCGCGGGTACTTACTCGTTGTCATGTTCGGGCAACGCCAAAGGGCCAATGTGGGACTAACAAAAGATAATGATTGTGGTTTTAGCAGATAGACTGGTGCCCGCTGTAATGCGGCCTTCTTGTTTTAAGTAATCAATAAATAGACATACATTTGTTTAATTCATGTGCTTCTCAGAATGTGTTACTGTATACTGGCATATGAAAGGCATTGCCCTCTCCATAGATCATACGCATTACCTCATAATGACTAATTCTTGTTCTGTGTATTTGTATGTTTATATTTAAATGTACAATGTAGGCTTAAAGGCCCACTGCACTACTTGTAGCTACTTGCGCCCTCTATATAACAAACAATGCATAATCGGTGACCATTGGTCCCCCATGATCCTCTTTTTCTTATGTTAACTGAGAACTGAGTTGATGAGATAACCACCTGTCTAGTGACCTTGCAGGGTAGTCTAATCCCTCCTGTAAACTACGGCAGATAAGCTTTAATTTGTTCGAAGTCAAAGGTGTGTGTATACTATCATTATCATTCTGCTTAAACACATCGCCCCGAATCGTTTTCGATATTTAAATGTACAAGTCTGTTTTGCTAACTATTACTGTTGATTTTAAATTGCTTGAATTCAAATATTTGTCTCCTTGTTCATATTATTTTATGACCCCGCCCCCATAAATGGTCTTCAAATTCTTGCACGTCTCCTACATTGTATATAGACGTCATGAACGATATCGCACTTTGTTCGGTAGAATTTGTGTTTGTTATCGTAGGATGTTCCAGCCATTTCAACCATGTTTGTCCGTGTTGATTTACGATTCGTAGGAAAGTTTAGTTAAAAAAGTCTCTCGATCAATCATTCCCAGGCCCAGTCGTAACTAGGGCACGAGAATTAACAATACAAATTCGATGATAGTAAGACAAAAGTGTCACAAATATTCGAACCAATACATTTATGATTACAAAAATCACTTTGCAGTCATGCATATAGCGTTTCGTTGTTTACGCATTTTAAAGTCGGTATCTAGGGCCAGTGTCGAAGTTTCACCAAAAACGATTATCACAGGCATACATGTATATGCCTGGCTTGTTTTGTTTAGGTAGTTCGTATGGCCCATGAACAAGTAACATAAAGACAATTTCAAGGTCAATGCATCGAATACGACAAGTCAATGGATTTACCTTTTTGGTTTAATTACAGTAGAATAAACATGAAAGGTCGCCAAGGGCCCGTGTAATGGGGGAGTTTAGAGTGTCATTGGCCATTTAATAGCCACCCCCATGCATGCACTCCGTTGGGACTTTGGTCATAAAATGGAGTGAGAATTAACAATACCATGACAAGAAAAAAATACAATATCATGTCTGTTGGCACTGGTTGGCTTACTAAATGAAAGAGAGACAGAAAGAAAGAGAGAGAGATGGAAAGAGACAGACAGACATA